ATCATTAATCTCCTAAAAAGAGTAGGAAACAAGAAAAGGTCTATTGATTTCTTTTTATTTTTATTTTTGTTTATTTTTATTTTTATTTTTTTACTTATTTATTTATTTATTTATTTTGGTATCTAGTTATTTGGTTTAAGCTCTCATGTGAAATGATTTGCCTACCCATCAATTTCAATAAATTGCTGTTCTGCTAACATTACCACAAAAAAGAGAGAAGTAGAATGAAGGACAAAACGGTCCTTCTGGTCAACCTCTGATCACCTCCAGTGTCAACTTGGGGATTGTTCTGAATCTGCTCAAAGGTCACATGACCCAGGAGAGACTCCCAATGGAAAATCCCATCAGAATCCCTCCTCCACTCCCCTTCCTCCCTGCAGTAGGCTGCCTTCTTCCCCAGAGCACATAACGTGTTAAAACTTTATGCATTTGTTTCCTTGGTGCATCTCCCCACCCCCCACAACAAAGAGGGACGCACTGCCAAAAGCAAGGACTCAGATATGTTCACTGCTATGTCTCGGGAGCCAAGACAGGGGCCTTAACGATAGTGACATCACAGGCAATCACTGATTATCAAATACAGCAGGCGAATGCACAAAGCTCTTCTCGTTTGCTTTTGGTGCCTAAAACAGCAGATCGGTGCAGAGCAGGGACCTGTTCTCCTTGCCCCGGCAGGCATCTCGATGGCTGACAGCAGGATAGGGATGTGCGCATTTATTCTGAGCTCACGTCCCACTGAGCCCCAGCGGATGGCCCTGTGGTCAAAAGCAGAGGCTGGGTGCTTCACCAGGCGTGTCTTCAACAAAGGGCTCAGGCTTTGGGTTGTGCGGTGCTTGTGTGGCATCCACCTGTTTACCATTTTAAGAGCAGTATAGCCCAGCCACTGTGGCTCAGTGGTTGAGCGTGGACACGGTTCAATTCCCAGTCAGGGCACATGCCTGGGTTGTGGGCTCGATCCCCATTGTGGGGTGTGCAGAAGGCAGCTGATCAATAATTCTCTCTCATTATTGATGTTTCTATCTCTCTCTTCCTCTCCTTTCCTCTCTGAAATCAATAAATATATGTATGTATGTAGGTAGGTATGTATGTATGTATAAGAAGAGTCATACAGAGCAGAGACTCTCCAAGGATGCTCTTCAGTGCACTAGCTATGGGCTATAGAAGCAGGGGCTCCTAAAACAAACAGGGGGTCCATGGTCTGATGAGCTTCTGGAACTGGTATCGCAAGAAGCTAAAGAAAGTTTAACTTTGCCAAAGCCAGTTTGGCTCAGTGGATAGAGCATTGGCCTGTGGACTGAAAGATCCCAGGTTTGATTCGGTCAAGGGCATGTACCTTGGTTGCGGACACATCCCCAGTGCGGGGTGTGCTGGGGGGAGGTGGGGGGGGGGGGGGGGCACAGTTGGTTGATGTTTCTCTCTCATTGATGTTTCTAACTTTCTATCCCTCTCCCTTTTTTTCTATAAAAAAAAATCAATAAAATTTTTTTTAAAAAAAATAAGTAAAAAGAAAGTTTAACTTCACATGTGATCACGCTCATTAGAGCTCTCGAACGCAAGACTATGTGAGGCTGTGTTCCCCATACTCCTTGGACTTCAGACCCTTCTTTGTACCGGCCGCCCTCCTCCAAGGTTCGGTTGCATCATGGGAAGTCCATTGGGAGTTAAACAGACCAGCAGGGCAGGGGCAGGAGAAGGGGGCCCGGCTCTGCCACCTCCCTGGCCTCACTGTATGACCTTCGGTACTTTCCCCATCATTCCCAGTGTCTTAGTTTCCTGTTGTGCAAGGCGGGGCTGAAAAGGATGACCCAGGATAATGCAGGTGAAGCGTCTGGCCCTTACATGCTACATCCCCCGTGACAGTCTGCGACGCCTTTGAGTGACTATGGGAATGCATGCTATTTAGACAGACATCTTCATGGGTGTTTCCTAAGCCCGGGGTGCTGGCATGGACCCGTTGCCAGAACCACTCTGCCTGGCGCCCTCTGGCCCCCTGAGAAATCTCTGCTGAAGTCGAGGAAATTCTGCGCGGGACTCCCTCAGGGCACCGTGCTGAGTCGTGATCCTGTGTCCCATCCCCTAGTGTCGGCAAACTCTTTAGTCAACAGAGCCAAATATCAACAGTACAACGGTTGACATTTCTCTGGAGAGCCACATTTTTTCAACTTCAACTTCTAACACCACTTCTTCCAAATAGACTCGCCCAGGCCGTGGTGTTTTGTGGAAGAGCCACGCTCAAGGGGCCAAAGAGTCGCCTGTGGCTTGCGAGCCGCAGTTTGCCGACCACGGCCTGTGACCTCCGGGGAGCCACCTGTGTCAGGAAGAGGGGGCGGCATCCAGGCTGATGATGGTGCAGATGGCCACGTGCTGCTGGGTTCGGAAGGGACTGTGTTTGTCTCAGCGCACCTCACAGGAAGGTGCGATCTGTGTCAATCTGACCCCTTCCAGTCCAACGTGCGTTTCCGTGCATTTAGGATTTATAAATCCCGACAGATTCCGCCGTATTTATAGCCCTCCGTAAAAAAGCCCGCGCCTGCTTCGCGGAGTTTTGCATTTGGCTCCCCGGGCTGCTGAAGAGAGTTTAAATAATAATAAATTTGGTGATTTATTCCACCTGGAACAGAAACGTATCCTCCCCTCCTGGCTCGTTCTGAAGGGGAACCTATAAATAGCACCGCAGACGCCGGGATCAGGAGGTGGGGGGGGGATTGAAACACGAGAGGGAGGTACAGCAACATCTCCATTATCTCGGGTGCCCAGCCTGTATCTCTGCAACAGTCCCGTCCCCCCATCACCGCCCTCTCCCCTTCCCCCTGCCCTGGCTCGGCATGCACAGGGTCCGGCACCTGTGGCGGCGTTGGGATCGGGTTGCCTTAATGGGGAAAGCGAGGGGCAGGAGTCGCTGACGGGGTGGGAGAGGTGGCCTCTGGGGCCCGGGCGGGTCTCCGATGCCCCCCTCACATTTCACCGGCGTCAGCGGAAACCGAGCCTCCACGTCTGGAGTGGAAATTCACCATGAGAGACCGGGCTCCTGCAGCCCGCAGGTCTGATGGTGACAAGCGCTGGGCTCGGGACAAAGGGGAATAAAGAGAATCTAATTGCAATCCCCAGAGGAGGCCTGGGGCAGGGTCCCGGGGCGATTCTCCCTCCCGCCTCTGCTTAGCATTCCCCGCGTCAGGCTCAGGCGGAAACACGTGCAGGGCTGGATGCCAAGGACACCCCTTGTTTGCTTGGACACAAGGTGAACAGCAATCAGGAAGCCTGTGGATTGTCTGAGGGGCTGCAGGGGAGGGCCGAGAGCAGCCATGGGGGCAGCAGAGAGGGTTTAGCACCTGTGGCCATGGAGGGGCCCTGCTCAGCCTCTATGATAGAGGGAAGGAGCCTTGGTGAGGCGGAGAGCCATGGGAGCGGTTCACGTCCATGGGCAGTTGATGGTGGCCGGCCCAGGGCGCATAGCAGTGGTCCTCTGGCTCTTTGCAACATCCTCCCAGTTAAGTACTGGCATGTGCTGGTCTGATATATCGGAGCACAGGCCCGCCCCGTGTTCCTGAGCGACCCCCCCGCCTCTGGCCAATGGGGCGGCAGATGTGTGGGCCAGGCCCCGGAGCCCGGAGCAGCCCGCGTTCTAATGATCTGTGGCCAGCAAAGTAAATGCTCTCATCGCGGGCTCTGCGGAGCGGGGACCCCGTTAAGGATGATGGATTGGAGGCCACGCGGATAGTGTCCCCCAGGGGTGTGGCTGCCCAATCAGGACGCAGGTGTCTGCGGTGCATTGCTCTTTCCAGAGCTCCGCCAGGTACCTGGCTGTTTGAGGCCCGGGGCTCCGGAGGCAGGTGCTGGAGGCTCGGAGGAATTTCTCTGCTTTTCCAGAAGCTTCTGGGAGCGGACGCGGCAGTTTGGGGCTGGCAGACAGCCGCTCAGTGTCTCGGGTGCTTCTGGGACCCCTATGTGATATGTAAACCATTTCCACTTCCTGGCGCCCCTGGAAAGAAGCCAGGCAAGAAAATTAACTTTTTTTTTTCCAAACAATCAAGTAGGAGACTCCAGTTAGGGCAAATAACAATGATTACTGCCACCCGACTGGCATGGCTCAGCGGCTGAGTGTCAACCTATGAACCAGGAGGTCACAGTTAGAGGACACAGTTCAATCCCTGGTCAGGGCACATGCCCAGGTTACAGCTTGATTCCTAGGGTGGGGAGTGCAGGAGGCAGCCGATCAATGATTCTCTCTCATCATATGTGTTTCTATCTCTCTCCCCATCTCCCTTCCTCTCTCAAATTAAAAAGATACTAAAAAAAAAAAAAAAATTAATGCAAACAGGTTATTTTCTTCCTTTCTTTTCTTTCTCCTTTTCTTTCTTGCTTTTCTCCCTCCCTTCCTCCCTTCCTTCTTCCCTTCCTCCCTTCCTTCCTCCCTTTCTTCCTTCCTCCCTTCTTCCCTTCCTCCTTTCTCCCTCCCTTCTTTCCTTCCTTTCTTCCTTCCTCCCTTCTTCCCTTCCTCCTTTCCTCCCTCCCTTCCTTCCTTCCTTCTTTTCTTCCTTCCTCCCTTCTTCCCTTCCTCCTTTCCTCCCTCCCTCCCTTCCTTCCTTCCTCTCTTCCTTCCTTCCTCCCTCCCTTCCTCCCTTCCTTCCTTCCTCCCTCCCTGCCTCCCTCCCTCCCTCCCTTCCTCCCTTCCTTCCTTCCTCCCTCCCTTCCTCCCTTCCTTCCTTCCTCCCTCCCTTCCTCCCTTTCTTCCTTCCTTCCTCCCTCCCTGCCTCCCTCCTTTCCTCCCCCCTTCCTCCCTTCCTTCCTTCCTTCCTTTCTTCCTCCCTCCCTGCCTCCCTCCTTCCTTCCATCCTCCCTCTCTCTCTCCTCCCTCCCTCCCTCCCTCCCTCCCTCCCTCCCTTCCTTCCTTCCTACCTTCCTTCCTTCCTTCCTTCCTCTCCCGGCCTCTTAGCAGCAGGAGGAGAGCCTACCTGTGCCCAGCCCGTGTGTGACGCCCCCTCTGTGCTCTTCTTCCCCAGGGCAACCCCTACATGTGCAACAACGAGTGCGACGCCAGCACCCCGGAGCTGGCGCACCCCCCGGAGCTGATGTTCGACTTCGAGGGGAGGCACCCGTCCACCTTCTGGCAGTCGGCCACCTGGAAGGACTACCCCAAGCCCCTGCAGGTGAACATCACCCTGTCCTGGAGCAAGACCATCGAGCTCACGGACAACATCGTCATCACCTTTGAGTCGGGGCGCCCGGACCAGATGATCCTGGAGAAGTCCCTGGACTACGGGCGCACCTGGCAGCCCTACCAGTACTACGCCACGGACTGCCTGGACGCCTTCCACATGGACCCCAAGTCCGTGAAGGACCTGTCGCAGCACACGGTGCTGGAGATCATCTGCACCGAGGAGTACTCCACGGGCTACACGACCAACAGCAAGATCATCCACTTCGAGATCAAGGACCGGTTCGCCTTCTTCGCCGGGCCCTGGCTGCGCAACATGGCCTCCCTCTACGGCCAGCTGGACACCACCAAGAAGCTCCGAGACTTCTTCACGGTCACGGACCTGAGGCTCCGGCTGCTGCGGCCGGCCGTCGGGGAGATCTTCGTGGACGAGCTGCACCTGGCGCGCTACTTCTACGCCATCTCGGACATCAAGGTGCACGGCAGGTGAGAGAGCATCCCTCCCGAGCGGGGGGCCGGGTGTGTTCACAGGAAATTCGGGGTGCGGGGGGCAGAGGAAGGGGTTGTTCTTGCACCTGGAGGATATTTGGCAGTTTCTACTGCAGCCGATTCTCAGGGGCCCCAGCCTGGAGGTCAGTCCTGAGGCACCTAAGACCCTTCTCACTCAGCAGGGATTCCTGCGCCCAGAATTGCTGGCTGTAGGCCAGAACCTGGCAGGATCGCGTAGAATTTTTTTTAAAATATATTTTATTGATTTTTTACAGAGAGAAAGGGAGAGGAATAGAGAGTTAGAAACATCGATGAGAGAGAATCATCCATCAGCTGCCTCTTGCACAACTCCTACTGGGGATGTGCCCGCAACCAAGGTACATGCCCTTGACCGGAATCGAACCCAGGACCAGTTCGCAGGCCGACGCTCTGTCCACTGAGCCAAACCGGTTTTGGCAGATTGTGTAGAATTTAAGCAAAAGGGGGGAAGCGCGTCTTAGAACGGGGACTGGAAAACAGGCCACACCTCTTCCTGTTGTTCCTAAGGCAAGTGAGGGCCTTCCCCAGGGGAGGCTTCTCTGTGGTTTTGTTCTCTGGCGCAAACATCTCTGAAACAGAAGCTGTATTTCTTTAAATGAGTTCAATCAAAGCCAAACGCATTTGGGGAAAACAACACATTTGTTTAAAAGGGGCAAGCTGTGTTTTTTCCGTGTTTTTTTTTTTTTTTTGGGGGGGGGGGTTTGTGTGTGTGTGTGTGTGTGTGTGTGTGCGCGCGCTATGGTCTTAAAAAGATATGCTGCCATGTGGCTCTGAGTCAGGCTCTCTTCTTGCTGTGGGGCAGGCACAGGTGGAAGAGTTTAAGCAGTATCCGACCCGGTCAGGCATACCTTAGGCCAGTGGTCGGCAAACTCATCAGTCCACAGAGCCAAATATCAACAGGACAACGATTGAAATTTCTTTTGAGAGCCAAATTTTATAAACTTGAACTTCTTCTAACACCACTTCTTCAAAATAGACTCGCCCAGGCCATGGTGGTTTGTGGAAGAGCCACACTCAAGGGGCCAAAGAGCCCCATGTGGCTCAAGAGCCGCAGTTTGCCGACCATGGCCTTAGTTTTTGATAATGTACCTGACACACAATTGAGCAACTTACCAAGAACGTTGAGGATGTTTACATGGGAAGCTTCCATCATTAGAACCAGGACCCCCTCCCTTCCTTTCTTTCTTCCTCCCTTCCTCCCTCCCTCCCTTCTTTCCTCCCTTCCTCCCTCCCTCCCTCCCTTTCTGAAATAGAGACTTTCAACTCCATGTTTTTAAGTGTGGGACGTCACCAAAGTCACCAACTGGTGGAGGGGGGAGCTTGAGGTGATGAACTGGAAAAACTAAAGATGAGTGGACGATACAGCAAAATGGAAATAAGAAACCCAATCAAGGCAGTAAACATTCTAAAAATGTCAGGATAGCCGAGACCGGTTTGGCTCAGTGAATAGAGTGTCGGCCTCCGGACTGAAAGGTCCCAGGTTCGATTCCCATCAAGGGCAGGTACCTTGGTTGCGGGCACATCCCTGGTGGGGGTGATGCAAGAAGCAGCTGATCGATGATTCTCTCTCATCGATGTTTCTAACTCTCTATCCCTCTCTCTTCCTCTCTGTAAAAAATCAATAAAATATTTTAAAAAATAAAACTTAAAAAAAATAAAAATGTCAGGATAGTTTTAAATCAGAATATATGGACATAAGAATATAAATGGTACATAAATCACCTATGTTTAATTAAGTAATCATAAAATTCTAACAAAATAAGGCAGGATTTTTAAATATACATATATATATATATATATATATATATATATATATATATATATATGATTTCAGAGAGGAAGGGAGAGGAAGAGAGAAATAGAAACATCAATGATGTGAATCATTGATCGCCTGCCTCCTGCACGTCCCACACTGGGGATTGAGCCTGCAACCCAGGTATATCCCCTGACCAGGAATTGAACCTTATTCTCAGGTGTGTCACAGGCCGGGCAAAATCCCACCAGATTTACTACTTTCCTTTTACCCCTCACCCTGGTGGTACCCTCCAATGCACTGCCAAGGAGTTTGGAGGACCCCCCCCTCCCTTCACAGGGACTCACCCACTTCCTTTTCCTGTTCACCAGTCACCTGTAAGCTGGTGAGGAAGCAGCTGGACAGGAGACAAAGGTGCAATAGAGGTGAGTCCCTCCCGTCGGGTCCCCTCTGTCACCTCCAAACTCCTGTCCAAATGTCTCAGGGCAAAGCCGATGTTGGCGCGTGCTGTGCCAGGCGCCAGATGGCCAGGGTATTTTTAGTCTTGGGGGAGGGACTCCAGAAGTAAGGCCCGTGGTGCGGGCGTGTCTCCAGATCCTAAGTTATATAAGGAACGTGGAGCCACGCGAGGGAACGGCAGCCCGGATGGCAGGTCTGTCAGCCTAGAAACTGATAGACATTTCACCCTTGAACGGTGCGGCCTCGTCTGTCTTTTCCTCAGCATGCCATCTAACGGAGCCCTGAAGGGAGATTGACGATCTAGAAAAGAAAGTTCTGAAGGTTCCTTTTCAAGAATATCATCAACGGAAACTTCCCCAACGAGTTGTTTCCATCGCTCCTCCTTTCTCCGTTCATGGAATGATCGCGACATGTAATGTGCCTTTCCATGTCTGTTTATGACCATTCTAATGATATTTTTTTTTTTGCCTGACACTCCACAAATAATGTGGGAACTGGCATGTGTTAGGGAAATGGCCACAGAATGGACATAAGAATATAAATGGTACAAAGTTTTGATTTTGAAGTGTTTTGTTTCCTCCTCGGCATTTCCTAATCCAATTGAAAAGTTGGACATTATATTTGTCAGAGGCAGAGAATACAAGATTGTTTTTTTTACCTTGAAATGTTAAGTGAGGCAACAAGAGCAGGAGGGAGATTTTGAAGTTGGCTGACCATGAACTCCAGGTCTTTATTTCTTGTGCCCAAATGCACCCGGTGGTTGTGTTTCATCCTGGCGGGTATCGTTTGGTGTAAAAAAAAATGATTTTTTTGATGGTCATAAGACGAAGGTCGCATTTAGGTTCTTTGCAGCGTGTGACTCACCTGAAACCTATTCTACTGGTGACAAATCCTAAACTCCCATCATAAGCATCGTGGCCCTCTTTGGCTACACGCTTCTTCCGCCGCCACTTGCTCCCTCTAGCTGTGCGCTGAGTCCCATTGCAGAACCAAAAGCTGGCTGCTGGCGATCTCCAGGGACTAATTCTGACTTATGGATGTCCCTCTTCCGTAAATCAGGCTGCTTTTCCCTAATGAGTAATAGACGGGCGTGGTGTGCCAGCACCTTAATTAAAAAGTGCCTCTCTCTGTCCTGATCTCGTTTTAATTTACAGGGTAATACTACAATAATATCACTAATGGAAGGTACATTAAAGGACATCAAGTAGCATTAACTGTATTAAATTATGGTACTTGTGTTAATTAACTGCCGAAGCAAGATGGCTCTAATGGCCAAAAAAGGTCGTCTAATGCATAAATAAAATCCACCCAAATGAGAGGTGAGAGGAGGGACGGTGAGGAGATGTTTGTTCCGAACATCTCTTTATTCCGACAGGGAGCTAAGCCCACGGGCTGTGAAATCTAAGGTACAAGATGTTTTCTTTGCTACACACGGAAAGTTTTGATTTTGAAGTGTTTTGTTTCCTCCTCGGCATTTCCTAATCCAATTGAAAAGTTGGACATTATATTTGTCGGAAGCATTGATTTTTAGAGAACATACACTTAGCCTTTTGTAGTGTTTGTTTGAGGTGAACAGTGTCAAGGAAGTCATGTGATTTATTGTAATCGCTGTCAAACTGGAAAGACACGTGAACATCTGATAATACGCTCCTCTGTCTGTAAGCAATGGCTCAAGGTACTGGGTTCAATCACAAGATAATAGAAAAATTTTTTTCAACCTCAAGATTTTTAGGATCGAATGGTAAGACCTTTCCTTAGTGGCCTAGAGAACTCTCACCAGCATCTCCATTACTTGTCTTGTTAGACAGTGTCCCTCAACATCATCGCCAATCATTTTCCCCCATGTCGTACCCTTGGCAGTACCTACCCAAGCGCTTTGCAGGTAGCTGGCCATCAGCTACTCCTGGCACTGCTTTGCCTTCTGAGCCTTTGCTGTTCATCTCTGAGAAAGGAGCCAGGCGCCGCTGGCATGGAAGTGCCACTTCTACCCACCGTTTGGTGCTGCCCCAGAGGGAACCCACTGTTCCTCTCCAATCCATGACAGGGAAAGGCCCCGGGGCAGAGCCATTGGGTCTGGGTGTCAGGAGTGAGAACGGCCCTGTGCCATCACCCTCAGAAGGAAGCAGATATGATCATAGAGCCTGCCTGTTTGAATGTCACCACGTAGGTGTTCGCTACACTCAGAAAATTCACTTTCTTGACTCAAGACTTTCAAACGCTTCACGGGAAAGTGTATGATCGCAAGTAAGCAAGTACACCGCGGGGAGTTACAGAGTATAAAAGCAGTCGGGCTGGCACCGGTTTGGCTCAGTGGACTTGCGGAGCGTCGGCTTGCGGACTGAAGGGTCCCGGGTTCGATTCCGGTCAAGGGCATGTACCTTGGTTGCGGGTGCATCCTCAGTGGGGGGTGTGCAGGAAGCGGCTGGTCGATGACTCTCTCTCATCGATGTTTCTGGCTCTCTATCCCTCTCTCTTCCTCTCTGTGAAAAATCAATAAAATATATATATTTTAAAATAAATAAATAAAAGCAGTTGGGCACCCCCATACTTCCTCAGATAATTTAGGGAAAACCAGGTAGCACACTAGGGATCTGCGGAAGACAAAAGGCTTCTGGTCATCCTGCAAGTTCATGGAGTCTTTCAGCCGCAATGTGAATTCATCTACCCAAATGTCTACTCTTCACCTGTCAGGTGAGAGGCGCCAAAGCACGGGGCCTGGCCTTTTTCCTTCTTCCCAGTGAGCCCT